AGGTGCTCCAAGATGGTAAATTTTATGTGTTTACCACAGATTTTTTTAAATGTTTGTTTTAGTTTTAAAATAGTGTGAGTGGGGGAGGGGCAGAGGGAGAGGGAGACACAGAATTCAAAGTAGGCTCCAGGCTGTCAGCTGTTCGCATAGAGCTGGACACAGGGCTTGAACTCACAAACCATGAGATCATGACCTGAGCGGAAGTCCAATGTTTGACTGAGCCACCCAGGTGCTCCTGAGATTAACATATTGTATGGTGTATCTGTACTTTGGAATATTATGTATCAAAAAGAAATGTGCTTTGTTTTTATAAGATACCCATGACATTTTAAGTAGGAAAAGGGCAGGTTGTAGAACAATGGCATGCTGTAATCCCTCATGTTAAAATTATTGTAGCTAGTGTTTAATTAGGGGTGCCTGGGTGCGCCTGCATGCGTGCACTCTCAAAGATAAACATTTTTTAAAAATTATGTGTAACTGTTTAGAAGGCTGTTTGTCAAAATGTGGTTGGTATATTTAGGGAGTATTTTTATTTCTTTTTATTCCTTTTAGTAATAATTATGTGTTATATGTGTAAACAGAAAATCTGGCTCACCTTTTTCCTTGTATTGTACCCACATAAAATTAATATAAAAATTAAAGACGGAAAAGTGAAATAGTCTGCCTTGGATAGCCTTTAAATTAAAAATACTTTAGTTGTTCCCATGGGATTGTTGTGGTAGGTTGAACTACATCATCTTCAGGCAGGCCAGGTATTTTCTTTACTTGTTTTTTTTTTAGAATTGTGGTAAAAGAAAAGGAGAATTATAAAATAAATATTTGGTCTTTGTCCAGGTTCCTAGCACAGAGGTCCTAAAACCTTTGGGATTGTCAGAGTGGTAGAAGTCTCTATTCCTATTTATAAAGAGCCCCTTTTGGCCACGCCTGAGTTTAGGCTAAGGAGGTAACTTAGGGCCACTGGATAGCCTCAGGATAGGTCTGGGCTCCCAAAAGACTGAAGAGTTGATTGGAAAACTTTTCAGTCCCTCCCACCCACAAGCAGAGGGGATTGCGCTCTGTAAAGACTCTTGAAAAGCCTCTATAAAACTTCTCGATGCAATGAGCTTCCAAGTTGTTAAATAGATCGATGCTGCCTAGGGAAGGCATGGACGCTCTGTGCTCCCTTTTCACCGTGCCCTGGTCATCACTGCCATTTGACTATTCCTGAGTTTTAAGTTGTAAACTGCTGATACTAAATAAAAGTTTTCATGATTTTATGAGTCATTCCAGCAAATTATCAAATCTAAGATGGCAGGGGGTGGGAGGGCAGCCTGTGGAAACCCCCAAGTTTTATAGGCAAGTTGGACAGAAGTACCTGGTTAGTCTGGGCACTCGGCTTGACACTGGCCTCTGAAGTGAGGATTATCATCTTGTGGGACCAGGCCCTTAAACCTATGGAGTCTGACACTACTTCTAGGTGTAGTTAGTGTCAGGATCGAATTGAATTGTTAGACACCTTTGGGTGAAAAAGACTGTTACACATTCGTTGTCAGAAAACATTACAAAATCGTATACGTTCCTGTTGCAGTCAGATCACAGGCTTTTTAAAGATAAGACTGTCCCATCCTCTGCAGCACCTAGCCTAGTGATTTGTGCACAGTAGATGCTAAGTAAGAACAGTTAACTTTCCCCAAATAAAAGTATTTTCTGTATTTAAGATTATGCCTTTGGCTGCAAGTTTTTCATCAAATAATAGAAGTAGAGTTTATTTTATGCTAGAGCAGTTTTCTTTTTTCTTTTTACATTTCTTTTGAGAGAGAGCGAGCACATGCGCAAGCAGGGGAGGGGCAGAGAGAAAGAGGGAGACAGGATCTGAAGCAGGCTCCATGCTGACAGCAGAGCACCCGATGTGCGGCTCGAACCCATGACCTGCAAGATCATGACCTGAACCGAAGTTGGACGCCCAACTAACTGAGCCACGCAGGCGCCCCTAGAGCAATTTTCTTTTAAAAATATTCATAAATTGAGATTTGAAACCCATGGTGGCGGGGGGGGGTCTCTTAATGAACGCTTATTTTTTACTGTAATCACAGAATCATGCAACCGTCACCACAGTAATTTACTCCTCAGAAAAACTGCATACCCATTAGCCATCACTCCCTATTTTTCTCCAGTCCACCCAGCAGTAGGCAATCCCCAGTCCACTTTACAGATTTGCCTGTTCTGGACACTTACTATAAACTAAATAATACAATATGTGACTACCTTTTTTTTTATTGCCACATACCATTTTTTATTCATCATTTGATGGGCATTTGTGGTGTTTTTACTTTTTTTAATTTTATAATTTTTTTTTAATGTTTTATGTTTTTTTGAGAGAGAGAGCGACAGTGCGAGCAGGGGAGGGACAGAGAGAGGGAGACACAGAATCTGAAGCAGGCTCCAGGCTCTGAGCTGTCAGCACAGAGCCTGATGCGGGGCTTGAACCCACAAACTGTGAGATCATGACCTGAGCCGAAGTCTGACGCTCAACCAACTGAGCCACCCAGGCGCCCCTGTCGTTTTTACTTTTTGACTCTTGTGACTAACGTCCAATAAAAGGACTCCTGAAGGTTGAGTGTGAAGACAAACAGTAACCATACTTCAGTTTTGTGGGAATGTCCTAATCTACTTGGCCTGTGGGCCAGCTGCCTGTTTTTATTGGAACATAGCCATACCCATTCATTTTCAGATGGTCAATGGTTGCTTTCATGCAGCAACTGCAGAGCTGAATAGTTGCTACAGAGACTCTGGTTCAGTCTCTGTCTCTGGCCTGATCTGTTTTTGAAACTTTAACTTCAAGAAATATCTTCCATGTTTACTAAATGCCCTTTCTCTGTTTCTTGTTTTTGGGCAGGCAGAGAACATTTATAATGATGAAGACCCTGAAGGAAGCGTGGATCCAGAAGGACAAGGGTCCTAGATATGTCTGCACTTCTTGTGATTTTAGACTCCCCTGTTTTTCCTCTCAACCCTGAGATTGATTTAACACTGGTTTTGAGACACAGACTTTGTTTGGCTATCCCTCTATGATAGATAGGTACCATCAACAATGTTACTAGCCCAAACAGAGGGTGTTTTCTAAATATTAACTGGGGGACTTGATTCAGTAAAACCACAGACTTCTATTTAAATTTTCTTCAGGAATTTTCTAGTAACAAAGGTCTAAAGTAGCCACTTTAGAAAGGGGAATATTGTGTGTGGTTATTTTTCTTCTTAGGCTGTATCCCCAAGTTTTTCAGACTCCTTTAAGTTAAGGCTAAAGTGAGGAAGGAATAGAGCCAAGTGAGGTAGGTATCTGAGCCATGGAGTATAAATACCACACGATGTCATTTTTATTCAGGAAATGGGGGAGATTGAAGTCCTATAAATTCCTCTTCTGAAATCTTCACACCTGACTTTCCAGGATGCACATTTTCCTATGTAGACCAGTCTCCCCTGTTTCTTCAGTTAAGTCAAACCTATGTGTTCCTCTTTCCCCATATATTTTTGCTTGTTAGTGTATTTCTTGAGCTGTTTTCATATTTCTTTCCTTTCTGTGAAATGGTTTTTTTAAAAAACTTGGGACCACCAAGTTGTAAAGATGTATGTTTTTACCTGACAGTTATACCACAGGTAGACTGTCCAGTTGAGTTGAGAAGAGTGAATTGATAGCTTGTATTTGTTTTTAAAATTAAATTAATCCTGGATAAGAGTTGCTTTTTTTTTTTTTTTTTTTTTTTTTTTTTTTTTTTTCCCAAAGGAGTTAGTCCTTGACCACTAGTTTGGTACCATCTCTATTTTGGGTGACCTGTTTCACCAGCAGGCCTGTTACTCTCCATGACTAACTGTGTAAGTGCTTATAATGGAATAAATTGCTTTTCTACGTAACCCCATGCTGATGGGTTTTATTTAGTACATAACATTCATCAAACACCAGTCTGGCTTCTCGAAGGGTTGTTCAGAGGACAGTAATTGTCTCTGGTCTTTGACTATCAAGAGCAGAATTAAATATAATAGACCCAGAGCTAGAGAAAAGAGGTTCACTCCTTCCCAGGGAAAGTGCAAGACATAAAATGCTGAACCCGAGAGGCACAGGATTAGTCTTTGATAAAATCACATCTTTTTGAAGTCTCTCTAGAGAGCTACATGGACTTTCAAGACTGTCAAAGGCAATGTGGCAGAGAGCATTTAAGGCAAATTTTAAATTTGGAAAAGGTGTTTGAACCTTTTCCCATAGAGAGGTTGAATCTCCCCAGTATATTTTTCACTGGGGTCTGTACTTAGAGGTTAGAAAAAATAGGCTCTTGAAAGCCTTTATCACCAAGTACCATAACCAGATAAAATGCCTGGTTCTTTGCCAGGCACTCAATTTAACTGAGTAGATCACTCTGACCCAGAATCATTTTCATGAGACACAGTCTTTGGGAAAATCTGAGTATTCTTAACCTTTAGGTTCAAATCTGGATTGGTTCCTTTTTTCCAAGTCAGTAGTTCTTTTAGAGTATAGCGAAAATTATCTTCACAGAATTAGGAGTAAACTGTATGAGTCTGCACAGACTTAAACTTTGTAAAAGGATTCATTTTAAAGTCTAATACTCATGGCACAAAAGAATTCAAATTGTAAACCCATGTAATGAAAATCGGCTGCCTTTTTGACCCTACCTGTGCTCCAAAAAAGGTTTTTGTTTTGGGCCAACACAAGGCAAGATACATTCTTCACAACAGTAAAGTGTGTCCATACATCCATCCTTTACTCTGCACGTGGGGGTTGCTGCTGGAGAACAGAAGGCTTCTTTTTCCGTTGCTAAGTGCATTTAGCTTGGTACCAGCAGCCTATGAAATAGACTCCACCTAAGCCTTGACTGATGGTGTTCTGCCTCCAGCCAGCCTTAGAATCTTTTTAAACAGGTCAGCCAGTATTTGTAACTTTCCCAGGGTGAATTGCTTGCCAAGTCCCTGGCACTCCCTTCTCTTGGAAAAAAAGTATGTCCAGAGGGTACTTAGTGATCCTTTGCTAAGAAGTTTTGTGTTGCTGTTTCTGGATTGCAGATTTGGCCATATGTTTCTAAACAGCCCCTGTAAAGTTGAGAAAAGAAAAAATAAGTTTATATTTTGTGCAACTTGAAATAATACAGCATGAAGTTCATCACAACTTCCGAAGTTTACTTAGTGTGGGCTAAGTTGGGGAGAGATTGCTAGAGTGTGATTTACATATGATTAGGAATGCATTTCCCTCCAAATGCCTATTAGGGTGCCTCTTACCTGCGAAACTGAATGAATGGTAACCTATGTGGTGGTGATGGGACGGACTAGCTAGAAATTTTCTCTGCCCAGGTTAACCTTGCATGGGTGTTAACAATGACTGAAATTCTCATTTCTTAAGATGAGTCGTTGCCCTTTCCTTCCCTATTGTACTTTTAATCTGATCCACACAAAGGTGTTTAACATACCATTTTCCTCAATTACAAGGTTCTCTAATCTCCCAAACAATAAGCGTAATCAGTTACTCCTAGGTAAAACATGGTAAAAGAAAATGCTAGTAAGTTACGAAAAGTATTGGTTGTAACTGTTATTTGTGAGTTTGTATCTAAGACACAAGACTAGCTAGAAAGTAAAAATTAAATTTATGGGCATCTGTCTAGTATACAACTTAACATAGACCTTTTTTATCCTTAATGTCTTCATCCAAGAGAATCTAGGATTTTATCAGGAATATAAGAACATATTAGTATATAAAAAAATCAATGGATAGGCGTGTTGCTTGTTTCACATATTAAGCAATAATCTTGGGGCACCTAGGTGGCTCAGTCGGTTAAGCATACGACTCTTGATTTGGCTCAGGTCATGATCTAACAGTTCGTGAGTTTGAGCCCCGTGTCCAGCACTGTGCTGCCAGTGCAGAGTCTGCTTGGGATTCTCTCTCCCTCTCTCTCTGCCCCTCCCCTGCTTGCTGTCACTCAAAATAAACTTTAAAAATAAATTCTGTCCCTCAGGCTAAAACAATACCTACTTGAGTTTTTTGTTTTTGTTTTAACTTCCATATTTAGCCTTCTGGCCTCCTTTGTCGTCTGAATTAGGTAGTATAACTGTCTTCTCTGCTATTCTAAGGAAACTTTATGAATAGCTGATGGGGTAGAATAGGCCAAGGAAAGTGATGCACAGAGCCCCTAGATGTGTCATCCTCTTACAGAATTCCCAGTGATAATTAGGGCATATTTTGAGTCCTGCTAGAAACAGAAACATTCCAAGTGACTGCTGAATGCTTAAATCGGGCAATCTGGAGGTATGTGTTATTCCTAACTGACTTGTCATTTGACACACTTTTTTTTTTTTTTTTCAGGCATTAGTATTGTTAAGTTAGGAAAGCAGCAACAAGGCAAACACCACTCTTGTACCCTCAAGGATCACCTTGAGACTGTGTCTCGATTCCACCTGTCTGAGAAGTGGGAGCGTTAGCCTGTCCCAGGCTCTTGGATAGCATAGCCCTTTAAAAAAAAGAAAGCCATTTTCCATTTGTCCTGGATGAGCACAGTTTGGAAATCATTTCCCAAGTCATTTTTTTGCTTTTCCATGTTAAGTGAAATTTCCCCTGAGCAACATCTCCCTCCCCACCATCCCCTCAGCCAGTGTCAGTTAAGATCTGAATAGCAGCAAAAACTGACTTATAAGTTGAGAGCTCTTCGGCGAGGCTGATCCTTAGCTGCTCTATCTCTTTGTTCTTCTGTTGCTGGAGTTGTACCCCATTCCTTAACCGCCTTTGTCGTTCTTCCATTTCCTCCAGCTGTTCCTGCAGGTGAGAGGGTCAAGAACATCTCTAGTGAGCAGAACAATAAAAAAACTGGCATTGCCCGTTACAGTTTATAAAGCACTTTCTTAGATGTTGTTTAATCTTCAAGCCAGTATAGTTTGAGAAACTGGTTCAAAGAAATGTTGGGACAAAGTAATCCTGCTTACGAAAATGGTGACCAGAAAGGAGTCTTGTCTATACTGGCAGACTACTGCTTAATAGAATCCTACAAAGGATGGGTGGGTGGGTGCTCAGATGGTTTTTTGTTTGTTTGTTTTGCAGTTTTAAGAAGTGTTGGGGAGAATTTTGGTCCTCTAGTCAGTGTGCTGAGAGTTTTATGGACCTCTGGCTTTGTGCGAGTTTATTTCTATCAGGATAATCAGTTTTTACATCATCCTGCAACTTAAAGCAATTTAAAAGAAACCAAGTCTTGGGGGTGCCTGGCTGACTCAGTCGGTATAGCATGCGACTCTTGATCTTGGGGTTGTGAGTTCAAGCCCCACGTTGGGTGTGGAGCCTACTTTGGAAAAAAAATCAAGTCTTTGTATGCAGTTATTCTTAACTATTTTTTTGTTTATTTTGAGAGAGAGTGTGTGGGAGGAGCAGACTGAGAAGGGGAGAGAGAATCCCAAACGGGCTCTGTACTGTCAGCACGGAGCCTGATGCAGGGCTCAAACCAACAAACCATAAGGTAATGGCCTGAGCCAAAATTTTGAGAGAGATACAGCACAAGCAGGGGAGGGGCAGAGGGAAGGTGAGACAATCCCAAGCAGGCCTCACACCATCAGCACAGCCTGACGTGGGGCTTGAATCCACGACCTATGAGATCATGGCCTGAGCCAAGATCAAGAGTTGGACACTTAACTGACTGAGCCACCTAGGCGCCCCACTTATTCTTGGCTATTAAATGTAGTTCTAAGAGCGTTAAAACTATTGGAAGTCCAGTTGTTTACAGGAAAGACTAAACACAAGTTTTGTATTTGAACCTCCTTGAAGTCCAAAATAGCTCTGCCCAGTACTTCTGTAACATCATATGCAAATAGGTGCTTTATTAGGATGTTGGCTATCCTAGTTGTTAATTTATAACCGTATACTGTTTACTTGTTACACAAAAAGACTGAATTTGTTCCAAAGTGCTAAGTTGGAAGATGAAGAAGCTATATGCCCCAGAGGCCTTCAGGAGCCTTAAGATGATTGTCCATTTCCCATTCTGCCCAAACCAAACAGGATATATTCTGTAAACTGTCTCTGCCCAGGATTAATGCCTGAGGAGTGAGGTAAGGAAGATGTCAGCAAATCCGTCTCTGGCATAGTTGGTAGCTGGCATGGATCCTTAGGAAGCATGAGGGAGATGGGAAGGGAAGGTTGCAGCTGGAAGGCCTGTTTTAAAGGGGTAATGACTTCACCTCAGATTTTGAAGAATAATGAGCCAGGAATCCAGTTTAGGTACATGCTGTTATTAGAAGGATCCCAATAATTTGTTCTCTAAGTCATCCTTCATATACCTATGGCACATCATTCTGCAGCGTTTGATACTCTGGCTGAATTTCGACTTTGGTCAACCTTGTCAAAAGGCCTTTTTTTAGTGCCTTAGCCATACTTTGGTGCCACACAGAGATGCGGCCTTGCCATCTAAGCCTGTCTTCTGGAGGGAAGCACCTGCAAACCTCTGCGCCCCAATTCCCCAAGCCTCCCTTCGACATCTAGCAAAGCTGTATTTTGGTGAGACCTAAAAGTACACGCTTGGGAAGACAGTCTGTACCATCAATGATAAACTGACCAGGAGGAGCAACGTTACAAAATGAAACAAATATTGCTACCCTGACTGGCGTTAAAGACAGTCTCCGGTCTTAATCATGTAGCACCACAAGATTAACTTTCTAAAACTGCTTTATCGTGTTCGTCTTTCAAAGACTTTCCACCTCTTCAGTCTAGCATTCAGACCCCCTTTAGTCTGACCCCTACCTCTAATTAGAACCTCCACTGCGCTTTCAGATGGACATTTTCCTCTAGCCTGCACTGTGTGGCAGGGAGGCCACGACTAGTCACATGTAGCTAATAAGTACTGGAAATGCAGCTAATCTGAATCCACATGTACCTAAGTAAAAGCTACACAGATTTTTAAGACTTGGCATATAAAACAATGTAAAATTCCTCAAATTTTGATATTGACTCAATGTTGAAATATTTTTATATACAGAGTTAAATAAAATACTAGTTTCACCTGTTTCTTACCTTTTTTTTTTTTTTTTTTTTTTAATGTGGCTACTAGAAAATTGTAAATGACATCTGTGGCTTGCATGACGTTTCTTGGTTCTAGCCTGCTGCTCTAGCCTGACAAATTCACAGATCTCTGTGTCTTTACTCCTGCCATTTCTGTCCCCTAAACAGCATCTGCTATATTACATTACTATTTATCTTTTTTCTTCTTGTGTAACTCCCAGCTTGTAGGTTCCTGTCCAGCACCCTGCACGTAATGCTGGATGTGAAGCACGTAGATAGTAAACATTCTATAATCCCGCATTCACGACCTACCAATTTCATCTAAAAACTTGAAGACCATTCTCAGCAAATTCCTCACACCACCCACTGCACCAGTCCCCAAATCCTACCCAAATATTTTACTTCACATATCTCACATGATCTCTCCCTCATAAGGCTTAAGTGGTCTTTCCAGGCTCCTTCAATCCATCCTACATGCCACCATTTTTAAAAGTACGTGCCTATGTGCAAGTACTTTACAAAGATTAATTCATTCTTTCCAACAGCCTTATGATGTGTATTATTACTAATCCCATTTTACAGTGAAGGAGCAGAGTCACTGGTGAAGTCATTGGTCTGAAGTTTCCCAGACAGGAAGTAAGCCAGGATGTGCCACTGGCTTAGAAAATTCATACTTTACAACTGCGTTGTTGCCATCTTGTCTGTGGAGCTCTTCAGTGGCTCCTCAAACTGTTTTCCATGAAACCCCAGGAGAAAGCCATATAGAAGTGCCCTTGCCTCAGTTAGAAAGTAGCTCACTTTTACCTGTTTTACATGCTGGCATTCTATATCAAGTTGTGTTTGGGGAAAAGGGTCTGTGGCTTTGGAGAAAACCTTTTTTTTGAAAACCACTGACTTGAAGACTATGGAAAATCCTTCAGTCTGGTCCCAATCTACGTCTACAGCCACATCTATCTAGTCACATTCTTAGGATCCAGCCACACTGAGCGCACTTCCCTTAACATGCCTTTTTATGTTTTCATGCTTTTGTGTAAGTCATTCCCTCTGCCTGGAATGCCTCTTTCCCTTGTCTACCCAACGAATTTATTCTCCAAGGCTTGGTTCAAACGCCTTGTGGAAGTTGAATGTGAACTCGGGCTAGATTGCACAGGGTCAGAATCCTCCTTCTGTCACTTCCTGAACAAATGATTTGACTTGTCTGTCTGGTTTCTGTTTTCTCATTTTTCATACAGTGACAGTAATTTATAGCTATCTCACAGAAAGGTAAGGATTAAATGTATTAATACATGTAAAAAACTAAAAGTACATGGTAGCTATTGTTAACTCTTAGGAAATTTCCCCTCCGTGTCCCCAGGCAGGGGTAATTATACGTACTTCATTGGTACAGTGCCTTATTCCTACTACTGTTATAGTGTTTATCACTTGAAGAATATTAATGATTTCACTGATTCTATGGCTTTCGCATTTTAACATTTCAGATCAGGGTACATCTGAAAATCAAGTGTCTTTGATTTTACGCAATATGTTCATTATATCTGGTATCCTTCCTGGACTATAAACTATTTGAGGTCAGGAACTACCCATCTCCCCCATTTCTCATCTCATCTCTTCTGCCAGCACACAGTTCACTGCCTGGCACTTGGTAAGCAGGCGTAGAAAATATTTGTTGAATGAATAGATGATGGTGATGAAAGAGGCAGAGTGTACAACTGCCAGAGTGAAGTGCACCCTCGAAAAGTAGATGCCGTAAGTGACCTTTGGCAAACAAGTCTGGGGAGCCATTTCACAAAGCAGAATTTGCTTACTAGGACCTTGATTGCTACTTTATGACAAAGCAATAGGAGACATCCATCAAGAGTATTTTTCATAGAATGATCTTTGGAAAGCTGTACCAATCAGCAAATCTGAAATCCAGCACAGTGATGAAAATCACGGGCGGGTGGGGGGGCAGGGGCAATTCTACAACCCTAACACTATGTCCAAAAACTCCTCCAGAGGATTTCCTGTTGATGGTACCACTGTCCCAGTTAGCCTTGTCTGAAATCTTGACACCCTCTGTGACTTCTCACCCCTGCCCCCTTCATTCAGTGGCCACATTATCCTGCATTTGTTCTTGCATCCTTCCCCTTCCTTGTATTCCCACATTGGTTCCTCTTACCTATAGTAGCTTCCTGATTAGTCCCCTAGCTTCTAGGTCTCCAGCCCATTTTACACACTGCCACCCGTACTTTTTCTAAAAGTAGAGAAGCAATTATGTTACTCGCTTGATTAAATACCTTTACTGATGCAACTGAGTACTGAATGAAATCCAAACTCCCTAGTTTGGATTTCTGAGTCCTGACATGACCTGGGGCGCCTGGGTGGCTCAGTCAATTGAGTATCCAACTCTTCATTTTGGCTCAGGTCATGATCCCAGGGTTGTGGGATTGAGCCCCACGTCTGGCTCCACACTGAGTGTGGAGCTTGCTTAAGATTCTCCCTCTCTGCCCCCCTTCCCAGCTCACACACTCACTCTCTCTAATTAAAAAAAAAAAAAAAAAAAAAAAAAAAAAAAAAAAAAAGCCCAACATGATCTGCCCCAACCTACCTTTACAGTTCCACTCACCTTTCAATTTTTCACCTGTCATATGCAGCCAGGTTGCAGATGTTGAGTTAATATATATATTAAAATTACTCTCCTATTTTTTTTATTTTTTTAGTATGGCTACTAGCAAGGTTTAAATTATATTATGTCTTGCATATTTCTTTGGGATAGCACTGGTCTAGATCTTGCCTATATTTTAATACCTAGCTCAAATAACACCGCTTCTTCCATGGAGTGTTGTCTGATTTAATGGATGACTAAAAATAATTTCATTATCCTATAGCACTCTTACCTGTACCTCTCTTCAATCACATGCTGCTCTTTCCCCTGGATTATAATTATTAATGTAATGTCTGTCTGAGTACAACTTAAGGATACATTTTATGCCCAAAAAATAAAAAGATCCTCTTTCACTAGACTGAACCAATTAGAAAGCTGCAGTGGGGGAGGGGACTGCTTTCATAATACAAACTACAGAAAGCTTGACAAAATTTTGAGCGAAGTGAATACAGCCATTTTCAACAGAGGATATGTTCCTTGAAGGATGTATCAGAATCTCTGGAACTTTTTAAGCTTATCCAAAGGAACATGTATTTCAAAAGATGAAAATACTGCTCTGAAAGGAACCACCACATTGTGGTCCCCTCATAGTGGCCAGCAGCCCTTCAGTCAGCATTTAACTGATGTCCTCTGAGCCCGAGTGGCAGAAAAAAGGAAAGCAATGCTCCCTTCCTTCTGAAAGCTCCCAGTCCGTGGGAGAGAGACAAAATTGTGTTTTTACTTTGTATTTATATCCCACCCTGTTCTATAAAGGGATTAGAACTGGCTCACACTTAATCAGAAGTAACTGGAATACAAGTGAAATGGTGACAATGCACAAAGAAGGAAAATGAGGAATAGAGCTTCATAGATTTCATCCCAGTTTTTGCTTTGTTTTGTTTTAAGTAATCTCTATGCCCAACATGGGGCTCAAACTCATGACCTCGAGATCAAGAGTCACACGCTCTACTGAACCAAGCCAGCCAGGCGCCCCTCATCCCAGTTTTAAAACTGGGAAGTTCCAAGGCAGAGATCAGCTAGGTGGGACTTGAGGGTGAATGTGCAGGGAGGGAGAGAATGAAAATCCCACCTCGCCTCATCCCCCTCTTGCTCCCTGCACCCAAGCACGATTCACCGAGAATTGGAAAACTGTGCCGTGGAAAGTGCATGGAAACATTCACGATTGGCCAGGCCGGGGTTCATAAACCACCAGCTCGCTGAGCCTGTTTCCTCATCTATGAAAGTGAGAACACTTGATCTGGAGGCTTAACGAGGGGACTGGGTGACGGTCGGTGTCAGGGCGCCGCCTACACTCTCAGCCCGGAGCGCCGGCCTAACCTGGTGGGATGAAGAGTGGAGTAAAGGAGCGGCCGCCCCGAGGAGTAAGCAGGTCCTCCTGCATGTAGGAGGGCCTCCTTCAAAGTGGCCGCGAGACCTGTGACTCCGGTCACCTTTTCCTGCCCCAGGCTAACTGTCCGTGCCCAGGGGGCCTACCCTGTACTGCTGAACCTCCTCATCTCGTTTCTGCCTCACGAGCAAGATCTGGTCCTCCAGGTTCCTGTTCTGCAGCTGGAGCTGCCGGGCCTCTGCTTGCAGGGGTCTCAGAGCCTCCTTCATCCCCTGGATCTCGGCCTGGGTTTTCTGCAGCGCTTTGGCCGCAGCTTCTTTCCTCTCCAGGAGCCGCAGCAGCTGAGGCTCATACTCTTCCTCCAGGCCTTGGCGGCTCTCTGCCATGAGGTTCTCAAACTGGGCAGAGAGCCGCCGGCTCTCCTGGAGAAAGTGCCCGTCCCTCTGGCTGGGAGGTGCTTCTAGTTGTTGCCGTAACTGCTCCTTCTGCTTCTGATAGGCGTCCCGGAGCTGGGCCAGTTCCTCCGAGAGCTGGGCTGCCCGTGTGGTCAGCGCTTCCCGGAGATCGGCAAACTGGGCCACGTCCTGCCGGCGGCACTCGAGCTGGTATTGGCAGGCCACGCATTCCTTCGTCACCTTGAACAGCTTCTGCTTGACCAGCCGGATCTCCTCCCTCAGCCCGTCCCTCTCCAGCTCTGCTTGGGCGTGCAGTTTGTAGGCGGCCAGGATGTCCTGATGGACCTGCTGCACCTCCTGCAGGGCTGGTTCCCGGAGCAACACCAGCTCGTGGATGAGCTGATCCCTCTCCTCTTCCAGCTGGGCCACAGCTTGGACACATTGCTGGAAACGCTCCTCTAGCAATTCCAGGTCCTCTATGCTCAGGCTGTCTGTGCTGGGACCAGGCCCGGCTTGGAGGCTCTCCTCAGGGCTGGGTTTCTCCTCGCTCGTGACCGTCTCTTCCCCGGAACTGGTCTGCTCTGGGCTTGTGGTCTTTTCTGGCTGCGTGGGCTCGTCCACATATAGTATCTCCTCTGGCTTCATAGGCTCGTCCATCTCCAGGGCCTCCCCTGGTTGCCTGGTCTCCTCGATATACAGTGCCTCCTCAGGCTTCTCCGTCTCTTCCACATAGAGTGTCTCATCGAGGTCACCTGTGTCCCCCAGGTAGAGAATGTCCTCTAAGTTCAAGGTCCCCTCCAAAGACAGAGTAACTTCTGGGTTCAAAGTCCCCACCTCACGCGGGGATTCAGAGTTCTCTTCGAGAGAAGAACTGGCTTCCGTTCTTGTTTCTCTGCAAGAGAAATGACTTAAAGTCAGAGGGCAGCCACAATCCCGGGATGGTTCCTGACGGGAGCCATCGGGCTTTTTTCGGCCTCTCACATCTCAGAGGGCACTTGTCTGCTCCTTCCCCCTCCGTCAGCCTACCCCCATACACCCATGGCTCAGATCCCCTGACAACATCCCCATGACGTCAGCGTCTAGCCTCTGCTTACATACCTTTAAGGCCAGGAAGCTCACATCGTTCCACTGTCATAAGAAAATTCTAGCGTTGAAGTAAAACCTTCTCTGCAATTTTTTACCTGGACTTGGTTCCTCTTTCTGGAATCAGACAGATCTAACTACTTTCCCATGCCAAGTTCTTTAAACACCTAAAGAAAACTAACATCTTTCGATTATTCCATGCATGCCAAAGTGTCCGGTGCCCTCCTCGTTTGGGTCACTTCTTTCTGACTCGGCTCCAAACTGTCACTGTCCCTTGGGGGTGGGTATTGGAAACAGTATCCAGGTATGTTCTGAGCTCTGGACACTATGTTTCTGTTGATAAGGCCAATATTGCCGATAGAGGGCAGCTCAATCATACTGGCAAATGCTGAGTTTGACTAAAAGCCTTTAAGACTGTCTCACACTGAGTACTTTTATTTTCCTAACTTTTTTAATGTTTACTTATTTTTGAGAGAGACAGAGCACGAACAGGGGAGGAGCAGAGAAAGAGTGAGACACAGAGTCCAAAGCAGGCTCCAGGCTCTGAGCTGGCAGCACAGAGCCCGACGTGGGGCTCGAACTCACTGCGAGATCATGACCTGAGCTGACGTCAGATGCTTAACCGACTGAGTGCTTTTAAACCACATCTCTTGTTCCTGTAAAAACATTCATCTTGTTAGAATTGGCCCATCCTCTGGCCTGTCAAAGGCTCTTGAATTCAGATTCTGTGATTCTGACAGAGAAGTTCCTTAACCCGGCTGCCAGTTGCCTGCTAATTTAACCAGTTTCTGTTAAGGAATATTCTCCTGCCTCTCTGGCCTTCAAATGGCTTTGGTCCTTCCTGTTTCAATTCATCTTACCTACCTTGGATCTCTGGGCAATTAATTCTTTGAAAATATAAAATACCACGGAAATAATAACAATAAATTACACTTAAAAAGGTCCTAATATCTGAATCTAATATCATTCAGGCTCAGTTCTGAATGATTTACGTACACCAATTCATTTAATCCTCATAACATTTTTATGAGGTAGTCATACTTATTATCCCCATTTTACAGATCAGGAAACTGAGGTGAAAAGAGATTAAGTAATTTGCTCAAGGAAACTCATACTCCATGAGCACCAGTTATAAAACAATCTAAATGTGAGTGTAGCTTACGAGAAACTTATTTTAGACAGAAAGCATAAATGAAAAGCCCCATGTATCAATGAAGTCATCTGTCTTGAAAAGGCCTACTTGTGTCCAGGTTTTAAGCTCTAGGTCTCAGCTCCAAGTTCCCCCTACAGATTACTTTTATTCTCAATCGTTGTGTACTCACTCTATCTTCCTCTCTAGCACCCCCAGGAGTCCCTGGCTCCCCATTCTGTGTCTCATGGTGGCCCTCTGGAAACCACAAGTGTGGCTTCACCAGGCCCCAGACATCACTGGCTTCACGCAACCCAAGCACCTGCACCGAAATCTAAAAGCTTGAAGGCAGCCTCAACCATCACCCTGTCTGTTCCCATCACTTTACCACAAAGACTGATCTCTCTCACCTGGTGTCACCTAGCACCTCAAACTCAACTTCCCCCAAATTATCCTTCTCCCTGGGCTTACTATACCTGTATTCTCCAGCTCAGAGAAGCACATCCCCATACAGCAGGTTGATGAGACAAATAATCTACCCCCCCCTTCTTTTTTTTAATTTAAATTTTAGTTAGTTAACATACAGTGCACTATTGGTTTCTGGAGTAGAACTCAGTGATTCATCACTTACCTACAACAGCCAGTGCTCATCACAACAAGCGCCCTCCTTAATACCCATCACCCACTTCGCCCATCCCCCCTCCCTCCATCAGCCCAGAGTTTGTCCTCTATCATTTAGAGTCTCTTATGATTTGTTCCCTCTCTTTTCGTTCCCTGCCTCCCATATGTTCATCTGTTTTGTTTCTTAAATTCCACATGAGTGAAATCCTATGGTATTTGTCTTTCTCTGATGGACTTATTTCATTTAGCATGATACATTCTAGCTCCATCCATGTCGTTGCAAATGGCAAGATTTCATTCTTTTTGAAGGCTGAGTAATATTCCATTGCATATATATACCACATCTTCTTCGCCCATTCATCAGTTGATGGACATCTGGGCTCTCTCCATCGTTTGGCTATGGTTGATAATGCTGCTATAAACATTGGGGTGCATGTACCCCTTTGAATCTTTGTACAATAAACAGGTACCCCTTTGAATCTACATTTTGTCCCCTTTGGGTAAATACCTAACAGTGCAATTGCTGCATCGTAGGGTAGTTCTATTTTTGAGGCAAATAATCTTTAAACAGCTCTTTTCCTCCCCCACATCGCCAACTCACTGAGAACTGACCTATCTCAGAAAGTCTCCAGTCTCCACCTCCTCCTCATCCCCTTGCCAGGGCCCTACTCCAAGTCATCGCATACCTGCACTCATGTGCCAGCCTTGTAACGGGCATTCTTCCTTCTCATGCCAGCCTATTGCCTACAGTGCCACAGCTCACTGGAACATAACCGTGTCGCATCACTTCATGCACAAATAGCCAGCTGCTTAGCATAGACTCAAAGCCCTTAAAGATGCGGCCCCAACATACCTTTCCAGGCTCATCTCACACTACCCGCCCCCGCCCACCCAGAGCATGTGTTAACACTTTTACACCTCCTACTCCTAGCCCACTATGTCTAAAGAATCCAGCTCAGAAAATACAGCTCCTTGTACACCATCTGATGAGAGAACAATCCTGCACCACCTGGAAAGGTAGAGCTCGTAGCACCAGAAAGGATGCACCTGCTCAGCCGGCCAGACCCACCTTGATCCTCAACAGAGCCCCTGCTTTCCCAGCAGACGGCCCTCACAGGCTCCTGCTGAGTTCTCCACCCTGGAATGACGTAACTGTGTTCAAGGCAGTATTCCAAGTATTTTACATGAATACTCATGTATATGATGCTCATCTGTTACCCCCATTTTGTGGATGAGGAAACCAAAGCACTGAGTAAAGAACTCACTCAAGGTTCCACAACTTGTAAGTGGTAGAGGCTGGAGAAGATGGCATCTGGCTCCAAAGCTGGACGCTGCTCCTTTTATCACTGTGTTCCCAGAACAGGCATGAGTTCTAAAACAGGTACAAAGCTACAGCAGGTCCAACAGAGCTTGGCACAGAGCATTCAAAATATACTTATTTAGAGGTGCCTGGGTTGGTTAAGCCCCAGTTGGTTAGGCATCCGACTTTGGCTCAGGTCATGACCTCACGGTTCCTGAGTTCGAGCCCCACGTCGGGCTCTGTGTTGCCAGCTCAGAGCCTGGAGCCTGCTTCAGATTCTGTGTCTCCCTCTCTCTCTGCCCCTTCCCTACTCTCTTTCTCTCTGTAAAAATAAATAAACTTTAAAAGGGGGGGGGAGGTGCCTGGGTGGCTCAGTTGGTTAAGCATCTGACTTCAGCTCAGGTCATGATCTCACAGTTTGTGGGTTTGAGCCCCGCATTGGGCTCTGTGCTGACCGCGAGGAGCCTGCAGCCTGCTTTGGATTCTGGGTCTCCCTCTCTCTCTGCCCCTTCCCTGCTCACACTCTTGTCTCTCTCTCTCTCTCAAAAATAAA